CCCGCCGAACCCGCTCTACCAATCACAGCGCGCCGGGAGAGGCGGCTCTCGCCAATCAGCGCCCCCGCTCTCCAGTGGGGAGGCGGGTCGGCCCCCCGGCAGCTAATCGCAGCCCGCCGGGCCGTTCAAACCAGCCAGTGGCCTGCTTAAGGAGCTACACTGGAGAAGGGGGACGCGGAGGAGCTGGCCACCCAATCAGCTGGTCGAGAGCTATGACGGGCAGGCGGCTCGACTAATCACAATGAAGGGGAGTGGGGGAGGGGGTGAAGGACCGATGCTGTTTTATTGAAGGAGTCCTGGCTGCGGGAGTTGGGGGTTTGGGGGAGTTAGGTTTCAGGCGTCAGGAAGTAGGCGGAGCTCTGTCCTAGCCGTGTCCTCCCCCCCAATACCACCACCCCCCGCAGTGCCGTGCCGTGTGACTCCCGTGGGCTGGGTCCTGGCTAAATCCCCATGTGCTCACCCTACCAGCAGGTGTTGCTGCTGCTGCGGGCTAAGGAGCAGGACCCCCCCCCGCCCCCACCTCATGGCGGTTACCCCACAGGGCTGCACTCTGATCCCTGCCTCCCCGCTGTCCAGACCCAGCAGGCTCTGAAGTCAATGCTCAAACAAAGTCCTATTTGAAACTGCTTGGGCAAAACACCAGGGAATAAAGTGCATCTCACCAGGGTGGATGATGTGTCCCCCTGGGTCTCTTTCTCCCTGTCCCTTTTAATCGCCAAACTTTTGCTAAAATGCTGGGTGCTGAAATAAGCCGGAAGGCAGGGCAACGTGGCACAAACTCAGTGGTTTCCAACTTTGCTGGACTCAAGGTGCCCCTTGCTGGACTTCAGGCACCCCAGTATAGCTTTTGGGAATTGAATGGCACCCACTATGGAAAAGTAATGTAGATAGTTCAGGTCTGGGCAGAGGAGCCAGGCACTGTGTGTAGGGGATTGGCCACATAGGGACAAGCCTGATCCTGTCTTTTATCTGTTTATCTCCTTACTTATCTCCTTATGCCTCACTTATATCCAAAAGATCTGATATCACCCTGGTTGAGAATCGCTGGACTAGCTGGTTCAGAGAGCCATGAGCTTTTGTGAGTGACAGCCTATTTTGGAAAGGACTCCCTTGGGTGCTGCATGCAGCAAGGGCACCAGACCTGCTGGAACTGGCACCATGTCCACTGCAGACCCGTGACTGGCCAGAGCAGGCGCAATGTATCCCAGGACCAGTCCGGCATGTGCTGTGTTCAGGGCCAGTCCAGCATGTGCTGTGCGGTGTGTGGGTAAACTTAAACCCAGGAGCAGCACCAGGGGCCAGATGATGGGGCTTCTCAGGCTAGATCCAGCCCTTGGACCTTATCTTTGGCACCCCTGCTCTATAAGGTGTCACCCTGCCCTGAAGTGCCACCCACCCTGCCTTCTGCCTGGCTTCAGACTAACTACCTGTTTCAGCCATGTACAGCTGTCTGTACTGACACAGCGACACAAAAGTCTATTAATACTAAATATTCACTAGGCTTAAACCAGTTGTCCATTTTTATGGTGGCTAATTGTTGCCATCTGACTCCTGTCACAACAGGCCCACGACAGTCTTGAATGAAAATTAGCCCTAGTTTTAAAAGGGGGAAGTGTTATCTTGGTTTTTCGCAGCTACTGCACAGGCACTCAGGGTGGGACAATGGGCTCTTAGTCTGTAAGATCCCAAAATAGAAGGTTTTGTCGAGGGGAAATGGTAAAGGACCTTACTTTACACTTTCCCTTTAGCCCCATTGTGCTAGCAAAATCAGCCTGAGGTACTGTAGGTCAGTGGTGAATCTGAGCCTATGTCTCTTCAGTAGCTTTTGCTGTGAGGATCAGCAAGATTGTGTATTAAATATATAAATAGAGTGTGCATATGCGGGAATCCCATTGTTTTGGCCATTCTCAATGCCCACAGCGCTGCAAATATGCCCTTACTTGGAAACACATCCAAAGAGCACCTGAGGTTTTCTTAGTATAGTCTCCTCGTCCACTCATCCTGCTTCCCTCATCTGCTGTCATATATGTCAGAGCTCAAAAGCAGGTGCATTTTCTCGAATATTATGTGTAAATAGCAGCTTTTGGTGCATAAAAAATTAGTGATCTTTCTGTGCAGATCAGTGTTCTGTGAGATCACAGATATGAAGCCAATGACATCATGAGAATGAATTAAGTCATCTCCTCTGTGAAAGAGGGGGAGCTGATTACTGGGTTACAACACAACTCCTCTGGAAGGGAAACTCAGTTCATAAAATCATAGGAAAGTAAGGCCACCTGCTGGATTACTTTTTTAGGGCCAAATTATTGGCTATACACGTGTTGGGGTGTGGGGCGGCGGCGTTTTAATTAGAGTGGTTCCCAGAGAACTGCTCTAATTAAAATGCCACAGCATCATGTGGATTAAGTCACTTCATGTTTAAAAATGGCCACAGGGCACTTTAACTAAAGCTCATTTGTCAAGCTTTAGTTTAAGTGCCCCAGCGTCCATTTTTTAACCCATGGGGTTTATACACATGACGCTGCAGTGATGCTAGAGTGTTCTAATTAGAATGCAGAACAGATTTGATTAACTGATTCTGCTCCAACCCATTCTAATTTGAACATGTCGGAGCCCATGTACAGGCAACCCAGGTTTCTAAAAGTGGCTCCTCAGTGTGGATGCTCAAAAATGGAACTCCCGATATGTCACAGCAGGGGTTTTACTTTCACAGGCGCTGAATGGGCACAACTCCATCAGGAGCCAATGGGAAGTACAAGTTGCTCAGTGCTTTGAAAAGGAAGCCCTGAGTCTGCCAGACAGGTGTCCTAGACTGGGTGCCATCACTGAAAAATGACATATCCCAAACTGGAGAGCACACTTGGAAATGTAAGTTTCAGCAAATTTCAAACCTTTTATAAAAGCTGCCTGTAAGAAGGATTTCATTTTACAGCCAGTGACATATTTGAATTTAAACAAGACATTTTTCACATGGTTCAGTAAAAGAGGCAGCAAGGCTTTGGCATGGATGGCATTATCATTTGAGTCATTTTGCATTGGTTCACTGTATTAGGGACACACTTTTTTTCCTTTTAAAAATAAAAGGTTTGCTTAGAAATGAATCTGCAATAACAAAGTGGTCAGATTGGCTCAGTCCTCCCCAACCACTAAAATAACAGACTAGTATGCATGTAACTGATGAAGGAGAACCAATCAGCCAGGCCAGTTGATATCAGGTTCATGTTTGACCAGTTATAAGTCATGGTAGGACAATTGGCAGGGAGAAGAGATTAAAAAGTATGAGGCTTCCCTCTCCCCATGTTGTGTGCTTTACATCTATTTACATTTGGAATTTTCCCACCTCTATTTAGTTTGCTCTTCCCTGAGTCGTTGGTGGTTAGGATCCAGAGTAGTAGACAGGCTACTGCTTTGCTTATGGGGCTGTGTAAAGCAATGATGTTCCTTGGTTTAAACAAACTGGTGGTTGCCTCCAGAGCTCTGCTGAGGGCTGACCCCACGTAGCCTCTGAGGAAGGTCACCTTTAAGGGTGAACTTACACATACTTAGACCATACTAAGAGCACTTCAAATGTGCACATCCACATGTTAAAGCTCATTAACTCATGCTAAGTATCCTCTGATTCTCAAAGTTACATAATTTCAGGTGAGGGTTAACTCTGGGATGTTCTTCCTAACTCCTTTCAGTTGGCTCCATGGGGATATATTCAGTTGGTTCTCAGGATGCACTGCTCCCAGCCTCCTCCTTCACCCCAGAGCAGGGGTAGAGCCCAGGTATCTTGGCTCCCAGCCCTACTCCTGTTCACCAGCCCTCCAAGGGTCAGTCAGACCTGATCAGGCAGCAGGTATTAATTCTTAGTGTGTGACTGCTCACAACCTGTTCTAACTCATAACATCACTTAATATTCCACAGATGTAGTACAGTCTATGTGTAATGTATAACTTCACCCTAAAGGTTCTAGCTCCATTTCTAGCAAGGTAAAGGTTCCATGTCCATTGCAGTTTGCTGCTGGTGAAAAGATGTCCCAGGTACATTCGCAGAGGAAGCACAGTGCAGGCAGCAGCTGAGCAAACTCCTGCAATGTTTCTCAGCCTTGAACTAGGCAGACCTACTCTAGGAGCAACAGAAGAACTCATCATTTATGTGCGTGCCTCTGTCTGAGCCTGCCAACTAGGAGGCCATGTAATGGCTTGATCCTCTGAACCCACTGCACAGCTCTTTCATGTCCTGATTCAATGAAATGGGGTAATATAGGATTAGCTAAATAGATGAACACTGGACCTGAATCAGTGCAAAAGCAGTCACGTTTGTGTTGCTAACTTTAAGCAGATGTAAAGTCTGGCTTGAAAAACCCACCTGCAATCCAGTTGCCTGGTATTACAGCTAAATCACCAAAAAGCATAAGGCTCACGTGTCTAGTAGGCTTCCCAATCTTTTTGCTCTAGCCACCTCTGAGTGATTATTGAAGACCAGGCTTTGTGAGCTCAAAATCCAAAAGCAGGGGCTGGCTTTTGTGTTTACCCACTACATGGGAAAAATAGATCATAGTTTTGCCATGGGAATGGGCAGCTGCTAAGTGCTTTTGAAAATCTGTCTCTGCATTTGGAGGTTAAAAGGAAGCAAGGTTGAGAAGAACTGGTTCTCTTGGTGGAGGCTGAACACATCAAACCTGTTCCTGTAGGCTGCAAGCTCTCTGGGGCAGGAACTGTCTTTGCCTACATGTGTACAGTTCCCTTCACAATGGACACATGATCTCAATAGAGGCCCCTCAACAGTTGTGGAATACAGATAATAAGTGGAGTAAAGGCATGGTCCAAACCCCAAAATTCTTTACATTTTTATTTCTAGATAAATCACATGGTTGTTTTCAGAGCTAACAGACTGAAATCAAGCCTGCCAGGAGTCCCTAATACACTCCAATATCTATCAAGGAAGGTTAGCCCACCACACTATCAATGACCATTGCCATAATGCTGGTAAGCAGAAAGTCTTCAGAGCGTTAAAAACTATATACACAGAAAACCATGAGGCTGATTGCTTAGGAGAGCAGCAGCTGGTAAGAATCAGAACTATGGAAAAATCACTGGGCTGGTGAAAAAGCCTTTGCCCATGCATGAAAAGTGAGCATGAGCTGACAGAGACCATCTGGGAGTTGGACAAGTGAAGTGTAAAGGAAAGTGGAGACACTGCAAAGCCATGCATTAAATGCTTCTACAAATTTTGCCACCCACTTATTCAGAGAAGGAGAAATATTAGCTTCTTCAGGTGAGTTCATGCCTCAAACTCACAGGTGCACCTGTGCAGAGAACAGTGGTCACTGGCCTGATACCTCACTTCCCATCTATACCAGCTCCAAGCTTGCTGAAGGGCATGACTAGGACCTCAACAAGGTCTAAGATTTGTGGGTCTCTTGAAGGCCATTCAGCTATTCCTGTAATAGATGGCAGAGACTGGAAGGTTGTATGGGGGAGGAGGATTCCATTCTTCTGCAGAGCATGGTGTTCCTAGGCGGAGATGTTTGCCTGCTGCACATGATGATGTGGCAGCCATGTTTTCATCTGGCTGGAGAAACAGCTCTAAGGTTTGGGGGGCAGCGCAAATTCAAGAGCAGTATTATTAGTTTTCACGCCTGCATGAGCTTTGAAGGTCTCCACAAACCCCTCATCTGTTCTCTATTCCAGATTACATACACGTGAAACCACTTTACCAGCCAGGGACAGGCACCTTGGCTATGGCAGTAAAGTGGGTTCCACTACAGAAGATGATGGAAGAAATGTCTTGTGATCCAAGGGTGGAGCTGGGTCTGTCAGGGTGACATTGGCTTACTTTCACCCATACGGTATCTGGCTGTGACTGGATGCTCCTGTGTCCCACCCCAGTCCACCATCTACACAAAGTGTCCTTGCATTCAGCCACAGGCCCACATCACCACATGTGCAGGTATGGGAAAGCAATCTCCACACACAAGACAATCAGACTGTTGGAGCAGTTGTGACGCTGCCCTGCCAGGAGCTTCCTCTGGCTCAGGCGAGAGGCAAGGCCCTCTGTAAGGTTGGATGCCTGCCACCCTTGGCAGTTCTCCTCTGGGACATGGCCTCCTCGCAGGTTGGATCCATGCCACACCATCTTGTTAGACCTGGAGACACAGGATCAAATTGGAAGTAGTGAGATATTTCAGGGAAGGATGTAGGGCTTAGAGTGGGTCACAGGCTGAAGAGGAGTCAAGTGGTAATTCAGTTGGAAAAAAGCACTGCTGCCATTCTATATTAACAGCAGTGTCATATGTATGTCATGGGAAATGATTCTTCCATCCCTGTTCTGCACTGGGGAAGCCTCACTTGGAGCACTGTGTCCAGTGCACTGCACTTCTAGAAAGATGTGGATAGATTGGAGGGAGTCCAGGGGAGAGCAGCAAAAAGATATTAGAGGTATGGAAAACATGGAATATGAGGAAATATTTGAAGAACTGAAGTTATATAGTTTAGAGAAGATGGGTGGATTTGATAGGAGCCTTCAATTACCAAAAAGATTGTTATAGAATAGAAGCTGATTGTCTCTTTTCTGTGTCCCCAGGGGAGACAGGTAGTAGAAACAGGCTTAAATTGCAATAAAAGATATTTGGTTGGACATTAGGAAGAATCTGCTCACTCTAAGAATGGTTAAGCACTGCAACAGATTATTTAAAGGGGCTTTGTAATCTCTACCACCGGACATTTTAAAGTGTAGGTTAGAAAAATGCTTGTTTGGGCTGGTTTAGACAGGGCTGATCCTGCCTTGAACAGAAGGTCAGAGTAGATCTGCAGAAGTCCTGAGGGCCCTTCCAGTACTATTTGTCTCTGATTCTGTGAGGGTCAGCAAAAAGATATATGGGGTCAGATTTGCAGGTGTGCTAGACAGCAGCAATTGCTGAATCCCATGCTAGTGTGGTGTACTTGGGCAATCAAGTCCAAGCAAAAGTGTCTCACACTGGGCACCCCAAATCAATAGCCACTTTGGCAATGATCAGCCTTAGCTTTTGGCTTATAAAGAGAAGCCAGAGTAGCTTAGGCTAGAAACAGATATTGCTGAATGGAGCGATTCAGCTGTGCCGTTATATATCACAGCACAGCTGCTTCGCTTCACTGGGTGAAACACATGCCACCCTTTGTCCCATTCTTGATGGTGCAGGACAAGGGACAATGTGATCTTCTGAGTTTCTTCACTAGACCCATGCCATGGGTCTTGGGTACCAGGGAAAAGTGTTTCCATCCTCAACCAGCCCTATGGGAAAAGGAGAGTTTTCTATTGCCCAGCCAGATCTGTGGGGTTGAAGCCCATGCTTAAGCACATTTTTAAGATGACAAAAATGAGAAATCAGACAGCTGTTTCCACCCTTAGAGATCAGCACAGCAGACTCCCCGACCTGAGAAACTGGACTGTCTCAGAGTATGCCTGTACTACTTTCCTGGCAGTGCGGGGGTGTTCCTGCTCTTGGGCACACCTCACCCACCCAAATCCTATTCATATGTGCCAGCAGGGCGTGCATGGGAGTGGGTGCTCCCAAAAGTGCCAGCCACAGGGTGCCCTAGATGTAGCCCTAGTCTCCAAACTGTTAGAGAACAGAGGTGGACAAATACAACAGTGCCTCCCCTCTTGTTAGATCCCAGACACTTCCAGTCCCCAGGAACAATGTGACCCCCCAACCCCTTGTGTTTAATCCAGGTCAAAGCAAAGTCAAAAGGTAATTAACTCTTTCATTGCTGGATTAAAATATGTATTACTGTGCACAGAAGGCAAGAGACATGAAAAATTATATTGAGGGTATAGACATGCATACAAAGCAAAGCCTCTCTAGCTTTAACACTCCTTTATCCAGGATTAAAGTTGGAGTGGTTTTGCTACATAATATCGTTCCCAGCTTGTCCACAGGTGACAACTAGAACTTAACAGCTGCTGCCCTTTTGAAATGTTCATCTTTTTCATGTGTGTCCATACATGCACAAAGGCACTAGAGAATCCAATGGTCTTTTGCGATGTTTACAGGGTTGTAGTTAAAATAAAAGTACTAAAGCATCAGCTCATCTACACAAGCATCAGATAGGATTTTTTTTGACCCCAAGTACAGCTCTGCAACAACTTCTAACATACTGATCCAAATATTTACCTTACCACCTTCTGCAGTATTAGCTCTATCCATGACTGGACACAGGACAAGGGACCAGAAAGGTTAATAGTCCAGTGTGATTTGGCAAAACCTACAGTCTTCTGTTTCTTTGATCCAAGCCCCAAATCCTGTATTTCTTGTTACAGTGCCAGGTACTAGGGGGTTGGTTAGACTTAAACACTCTCACTTCAAGGTCCTTAAAGTAGGGGTCCCTAGTGGTGTAGACTAAGGTCCTGTACCAGGGATCACTTGTCTGTTAATGCAGATCTGGAGTTACCTCTTTGTGTTGTCCCAGTCTACAAATATTTTCCCTCAGTTATACATACAGAGTTTACTGAGCATCTGACCTTCTGTATCCTACATAGTTGAAGAGATCTTGGGGCCCGTGGACTGATCCCCATCATCACACTCACCACAAGGGATCCTTCAGAATATTGCGTCCATTGAAGGTGTAGATGGGAAACTTCTTTGCGTTGAAGTGGGCAGCATTGTTGCCTTCAAACAGGGAATTCCAGGACTTTGCCAGCAGCTGTCCCTGCCATTGGAATCAGTTTTACTGATCAGATGTAGGACTGAATGGTCATGAAGGTTTCACCTCTGGCCAGACATAGCCAACCAGGAGCTATGCAGTGACCCAGCTCCAAAGACCAACAAGACTCCCAGCAACACCAGTTCATACCCCTGGGCTAGGCAAGTTTCATGTGGATTAATTGTCAGTCTCTTGTTCTGATGTGATTAAATGGGCCTTGAATATACACTGGTAATTAGTTACTAGAGCCCTCTCTCTGTTGTCTTGAATTGGGAAATAATCTCCCTGTTCTCCTCTCCAAGACAGCTAAGCTTCTGACTCATGATCATTGGCACATTTTATTCACATCAGTTAAGGTAAAGCTGAAGTACATGTTCCCCAGCTCTTAGACTTTTCCATTTACCTGTTGATGAAGCTGCCTTGAATTAGCTAAAGGCAATTCCACTGGGTAACAGAAATGGATGACTGCCTCTTTTCCTATGCAGAGGCTTTATTGCAGCTTAGAAGTTATAGTAAGTTTTTCAAGGAAGTGTAAAAACTTTAATGTAAACCAGCTAAGATGGCTTACCAGATGACCTACAAAAAAATGAAGGACATATACAGGTCAAATTTCCTGATTTTACAGAGAAATCCAGTCAATATTCCACTCCTCATTAGAAACTAGATATTTGTCTGCCTTGACAATCAGCCCTACAGCTTTCTATCTGTGAGTATTTGCCTTGTTCCTCTGTTGTAATATCTCATAACATAAGCACTGAAGAATGTGAAGTGAAAGGTGTTAGATCTAACCAATGGATGTACAGATTGAGGCCACTAAATTTAGAGGTGCTATAAGGGATTTTTGTCTTCCTAAACGATTGCACCTCCCTAGAAGTGATAATGGATTATATAGCACAAGCACAAAAAAGAATTCTGAAAGATAAAGCACCTAACCAGGTGCAACTTTGAAATATTAGGAAAAAATGCTTAAAAATAGGAATTTCCAATTAGTAGCTTGGGCTAATACTGAAATTCAGTCTTTGAAAAGACTACAGTATAAAAAGCCTCCGATAAGAAAAAGTACAAAGAAAGTTGTTATACAGCAACACCATCTGCTGGAAATCAAGGGAAGCAGCAGATCAACAGTGAGCTGAAACCACAGTACTCAGATGCCAAGTGTCCAACTGTAAATATGAGGACCATCCATCTCCAGTTTATATAAACTGGTAACTGCCATTGGGACCCCAGCCCTGCAGACACAGTCCAAGAAGCTGCCAAACCAGAAGTGGTATAGATGCTTGGACAGGGTATTTGAACAGGCTCCTTTTTCAGAACTGAGAATCAGCCTTGAGATTTCATTTCTGAGACTGTATTTCTTTGTGTGTCCTTTAATAAAAGAACTGAAAGTGATCTCAGTGATTCTGGACTCTTTCTAGAGAGACCTCCAGTAACTTTGCTTTGTGCATCTTTCTCTTTTACAAGCACAAGCAAATAGAGGCTAAGGAAGACTTAATAACTTCAAGAGTTGCTCCTGAGTTTTAAACAGGTCCCTTTTCAAACTAAACAAGTCAAACACCAGAGAACAAAGGCCTAAAAGTGCATCCTAGAAGAAGTACTGGAAATGATAACCATTTTAGAATTAACTGAACATAATTAAAAGTAAACATATTCAGAAGTCGTAGTGCAGTGATTGGGTGGCTTGAGATCCTTTCAAGGGTGCCACACAATGTTAGCATTGTTAGGTATGCAAATATGATTAAAAAAATGAACCCAAAAATTTCAAATAGGAGTCCATAGTTTTAAAAACATTCTGACTTCTTGTGGGCTTTCTCAGTACTTTGCAACAGAAAAAAATGCTCTATTATTTTTCCATTGTCAAAAAACAAGTGAAAAGTAAGAGCTGGCATTTTCCATGGGGTGCCTTGAATATAACAAATCTACTGAGGGGCACCTTGAGCTTAAAAAGTTTGAGAACCAGTGTCTTAGTCTTTTGAGTTATACCTTGTAAATGCTTCTAGGCCCCAGTACCCATTTATGTTAATCACTCACAAGATTGCCTGTGTATTTTGTGTTCAGTAGAAGCCTAGAACATTAGCTGCATTTATACTATACCAAATGCATTATTTATTATATAGTTATGTAGTTCTGAGTAAATACATATATTGTTGATTGTTTTCAAATAGTAAAGAGTCCTGATTAGGAATGGCAAACACAAATCTGGAAAGATTTGTGGAAAGATTTGTATTTGCCAAACTAGCACTAAATTTAGTAAATTTGCACTTCTTTAATTTAAAACAAAAGGGTTCTCTTAATTAATTTCCACCCTAATACTGGCTACAGCCCTAATCAAGTTAGCACATCTAGCATCCAAAATCTAATTGGCACCTTGTCGAATTCATCAATTTGACCCCCTCATTCAGGTCTACAATAGTTTGAAGTGGCCAGTGAGAAAGGGGTCACTTAAGTCAGAAGTACATTCAGGCTAAGTATAAGGCTCAGCAAGAAGTATCTGGCTGTGGAATACTGTCCTCGGTGGGAACCTCTTGGCTTAATCAAGGACATTGGGACTAGTTAAAGCAGGGGCAGGCAATTATTTTGGCTGGATTTTTAGGAATTTTTGGTGAGCTGTTGCAGGCTGGGATGGGGGGGTGGAATTGATCCTATCCAGCCCAGGCCCATGTGCCCTGCACCCACAGCTGGGGGCACCAGACAGAGCAGGAGGGGTCTCCATGGAGACTGGGAACCCTGTGGGCAGGGCATGCTCAGCCAAGTGGATGGGATGGGGCCACGGGAGGGTAGGGAGTGGCTTCTGGGAGTGGGATGTGTGGGCAGGGCTGGGATGGCAGGGTGGTAACAGTGCAGGGCCAGGGCCTGGGGCAGAGCTGCAATCCGCTCCTTCATGTCCCTGTGATGGGCACCAGTTCCTCAGGCAGGTGTATGTGGAGAGTGGATTGCTGCTGTGTCCCGGGTCCTGGCCCTGCACTGTCACTATCTTGCAATCCAGGCCCCAGCTCAAGCTCCAGGCCTGCCTACCTGCCCTGCCTGCCACTCTCGGATGCTGCTCTGCACCCACCCATGGCCCCATCCCATCTGCCCAGCCAACTGTGCCCTGCCTGTGGGGGTCCCAGGCCAGTCTCCATGGAGACCCCATGTGCCCACCTTCCTGCTCCATCCGGTGCCCCTAGCCGTGGGTGCAGGGAGGATGATCAGAGTGCCCAAGCAGCGGGGCTGGGTCTGGTGGCAGCAGAGACACTAGCACTGGCAACGGGAAGTAGCCGCTGCTGCCAGGGCTGCCAGGAAATGGAGTCCAGATGTTGCAGCACCCCTGCCCCACTGCACATCTGGGATAGCAGGACTGGCTGCACATGCCCTCCATGGGCCGGACAGAATCCCTTGGTGGGCCAGATCCGAACCATAGGGCATATGTTGCTCACCCCTGGGGTAAAGCTTGAGATGACCGACTCTTAAGAGCAGTTCTGCTTTGGGGAGATGGCCCCCAGTGGGTTTAGCTCCTGGGAGTCTGTAAGATGCCTTTCAAAGTTTCCACCTAATGCGTAGTCCTCAGTCAGGATATACAGCAGCTGCACCTGCTTGATTCCAATAATGCTGATGGGATTAGGGTGGCTACTCTGTTCTTTGTCCTCAATTGATATGAAATCAGACGTCTTTATGTCCTCTATTTTTCTCTTGAAGAGAAAAATAGAGGACATAAAGGCATCTGGTTTCATATCAATAGAGGACAGAAGACAACCGCACTGTCCTCTATGATGGCCACCCTAGATTGGATTGTGTTACTTGCCTTCAGATTGACAACAGGCAGGGTCCTGTCTGTTCGTTTCACCAGCGAGGTCAGGTCCTGGGTGGGCACTGCCAGAAAAGCCCGGAAGGTGCCATACAGCTGTGCTTCCCGCGACTGCCTGTAGCACTGAAGGTCTGCACCACGGATGCCATTCATATCACCAGACAGTGGGAAATTGAGGGCTATCATGCGGAGCTGGGAAAGCAGAGGGGTGAAAGTAAGTAGGGGAAATGGGATCTTCAGAAGCACTTTGATGCCAGCTTGGTTTGTTATACAGGGTATCAGTGCCCAGATGCATTAATAGAATCATAGAAAGGCAGGGCTAGAAGGAACCACAGGAAGCCATGTAGTCCAATCCCCTGCTCAAGACAGGAGTGCTCCTATCCAAACCATCCCATAAAAATTCTTGTCTAACCTATTACTAAACCTACACAATCCATCCTGTCACAGTTTCAAGGCATGGCACCCTAACCTGCCACAGCGAAAGCAGGGGAAGCTATAGAGGGGCTGTAGCGCTCCTGGGGTGCTCATCATGTGAAATCACAGGTCCAGGCTCCTGTCTCTGAGCAGCCTGACAGAAGTGGGGAACTGACAGAAGCTGAGCCTGAGTCTCTAGGGTGCAATGAGTACAGTTGCATGGGGTCTCTCAGCTGCATAGTGGACAGCACCCTGCAGGTTGCTAACTAGACAAGCTTTCAGTCCCTCAGGGCCTAGGCTCTATATTGGAGCCTTAAGGATCCCACTTCCCCTTCAATTCTGGCGATCCAAATCATAGCTGCTGCCCTTCTAGCTATGGTGACTGACCACCCAGGGACATGGCTCCTGTGTAACATGAAGGCTCCTCCCCTCCCTTGCCCAAGCAAGTGGCCTCCATTTTGCCTGCAGGGGCCAAACCATCAGGAACTAGAGCCAGGAGTTTCCACATGGCTCTGTGAAGACCTCCCCTTGGGGCACTGAGGACTACAGGGGAAATGGAAGGAAAGTCTGTGGTGGGTCTTACTGATGGGATCTTCGGGGTGATGTTCATTGGCAGGACCCCGCGGGTTGCTTGACGCTTTCCCTGGTGGGA